TGAAATCAAAATCGTGAATCGAATCGAATCGTGAGTTGAGTGAATCGTTACATCCCTAGTTGAATAGATGCATTTCTTTGTTATACATGAAATACTTGAATATAAATGTGTTGTTAATGAGTTGTTAATTGCAGATAAACCATAGTTCTCTTAAACCCTTTCTGTTACCAAGTATTGTGGTGCCTTACAAAAAAAAAAAAACATTTGAAGAGTCAGGACTGATGTTTGCTTTTATAGTTAGGCCAGAGCTACTAAAATAGTTTCATCAGTGCATCTTCGATTTTCTATTCTCATTTGTGCACAAACTGAAGATTATATGAAAATTATAATATAAAAATATGAACTTATCGGTTATCGGTATCTGTATCAGAATCGGCCATGAGAAGGACTTAATTATCGGTTATCAGTATTGGTTAAAATTGTTCATATCGTGCATCCCTGATGAATATATTTATATATTAATAATTGATGGGTGCACAATAATTGAAACCATTAAACAAGATTAATTTTCACTTAATTTAATCTTAAAATTCACTTATTTGGAAAGAATTTTCTAAGACAACACACTAAACATCGTGTCTTTAGGATTAATTAGGCCCTCAGTTACCATCAGATTAGTGAAACCACAATGAACATTAACACGTGATTGCACTTGACTAACATACAAGTTTTAAGAACATAAAAAATATGCATATTTCAAAACAATAAAAAAAAAAAAAGTCTTTAACCAAGGTAACTTTAGCCTAAAATATGTTAACAAAGCAGGTAAAGATAGTTGACCACATTAATCCTCAAATATTAGCGGATTTTAGTGCTGGTTATACCGGTTTCACGGTATATGACGGTATTTTTTTTCCCATGCATGACCGGGTGTTAACCATATTTTCTACTGATTGAGAGAGGAAATACTGCAGTATATTGACTTAGAATGCCCTATTTTACTGTCATGATGAGTGAATATTGTCAAAAAATACCACACTAAATAGTGACTAAACACGACCCCTTTTAATGTTAACCAGGAGTCACTCTCATTTATAATCACAGCATCGTCTGATAAAATCTTTCACGATCCGATCCGATTCTGGGAGTCACGATACAATTCCAAAACGATTCTTGATCTAAATTTTTTCCTAATTAATTCTTCTTCTGTGCAAATACATCTTTACAATTTTACATTTTAACCAGAATTGCAGTTTCTATGCTTTTTGCGTGTCATTTGTAGGGAATAAACCAAGCTCAGAATCGATTCAGAATCATTGAAGAGAGAATCGCAATGCAACGGAGAATCGATTTTTTCTCCCACCCCTAGTTCAGATGTTATTGCCCACAACATATTTGCCTTTATTGTAGTGCCCCCAATGGCCGTCCTGGGAGAGTCTATGCATCTGAGTAGTGGGAAATAATACTTAAATAAATTCCTGGTTTCAAGTCTATAGGCTTTACAATTTGGGCTTCACAATGGAATGTTGCAGTATTTGTTGCTGTGCCCCCTATGGGCGTTTTTTAAATTTGGTGTACTTCTTCAAAATGTACGTAATACAAATTGTTGTCAAAATGGATGACAATTTTATTGGCTCATATCTGCAAAACAATTTGATGAATCAAAGTTTCTTTGGCTTTTTGTCATGAGGGTCCGTAGATGAAACACACCAAATTGGGTTCTCTGAGATTTACAGTCTCTGATGCCAAAACAGATTTAGAAAAGAAAATAAGGAAGATGATGATTAAGAAAAACAAAGTCATCAGTATGTCGGCCTTTTCAAGCCAATGGCAACAGACGGCAGTAAATGACCAGAACATTTTGTGATGAGTGGTGTACTCACCTGAAACAGTGAGACTGCACAAATAGTTACGAGAATCACTATCCTAACGTCTACTTTGGGAGCAAGTCTTCTTCTGTAGTAGGTGTAGTAGTGGCTATAGTATTTCTCTGGGTGGTCCAGCATGTAGTCGTAGTCCTTACGTAATTCTTCATCCTGAAAGTTGCAATATGGGAGTCTATTAAGCTGTTATAACTATTTACCATGTCACAAAATTGCAACGGAAAGCAAAATTCAACTTTGATGCTAGTTTGACAAACCCTTGAAAGTATTTTTACTGTAAAAGCTTGAAGACTTTACATTCAGTCAGTCAGACAAACACTATGAAAGACCTTCAGGCCCTGTTTACACCTGGTATTACGAAGCGTTTTGGTCGATTAGATCACAAGTAGATGCGGGAGACACATTCTCGCTCACACCTGGTGTTTTAATCTGTCTCTTCTGTCCACTTTCGACCACTTCTGTCCTGATTTCTTTTGACAGGAGGGTCTATGGGCCAGTGTATGTGGGCATTTTCTGATCTTACCATTTAATATTGTGGAATAATAAACTCGCGCAATTTACATATGAGCCAAATGCTGTGGGTTTTTCCCCCCAAAAGCTATTTTTAAAACATTTACTGCATGGATAAAAATCTGCCACACATATCAGTCAAAATTGCATTGAAAAAAAAAAAAAAAACACTTATTCACCTATAAACTGTCAGCAAATCCTTTAAATTTTACCAGTATTCAGAACAGAATAAGATACAAATCTGAAAATATACAATTATAGAATAAAACAAATTGTAATTGCATTCATTTTAAACAAAATTGGCCTATAGACATCCTGCAGTCCTAAAAATGATATGTTGTGTGTGCACGAGAGGCTCCGGCGAGATCACGGATATTGTCCTTATCACAGGGGAAAATAATTAAAATATTCACAATAAGAACAAAACTATGCCTTTGTAAAATAAAGAAAACAAACAGGGTGCATTTTCAGCCATCTCTGTTTCCTTAAAACTGTGAAACAGACTTGTTTTTTTTTTCTTTTGTTGATTTGTTAATTATTTAACTGAAACATATTTTGTGTAGGCCTATTTATTTTATTCCTATCATCTGTCATTTTATTCAGTTTTTCTCTGTTTTCTCTAGTGTTAATTTTGTCAGCTATTTTTAATTTAGTCTTAGGTCCTGTGTCAAATGTAACTTTTAGTTTTTATCATATTTAGTCCTGTTTTAGTCAAGTTTTAGGCCTAGTCAACTAAATGTCTGAGAATTTTAGTATAGTTTTAGTCAGTGGAAACTTGCAAATTTTCGTCATATTTTCGTCTTACTGTATAATGGTTAAAATTATGAAAAAATATACTGTATTATTTTGCTCAATTTTAATTGCAATGACTGTTGTCATTTGGGAAATTAATTTCTACATTTCATCAGAAGTTGCTCTTTCACCAATAAGCACAAATCAATAGAATATCGACTCATATGCATGGTTTAATTTACCTCATCTAACGTTAGTGTACAGATTTATAACAAGAAATCAATTAGAGGCTAATAAAAACCAAAGACTTCAGATAGACACTCGCCCTGTCTGCGTTATGAAAACTGGTGTAACAAAAACCTACTCTTAAATATTATAACAGAGAAATTCTTAATAGTAATTCCAATAATTCTAAATTGCATTATCGACTCATATGCATGGTTTAATTTACCTCATCTAACGTTAGTGTACAGATTTATAACAAGAAATCAATTAGAGGCTAATAAAAACCAAAGACTTCAGATATACACTCGCCCTGTCTGCGTTATGAAAACTGGTGTAACAAAAACCTACTCTTAAATATTATAACAGAGAAATTCTTAATAGTAATTCCAATAATTCTAAATTGCATTAATGTTTCTCTTTTGAAACAACGGCAAAAAGACTTATTGCTGCACAGAGGTTGCGTAAGTAACGTTACAATCCACAACCACTATCGCAAACAATACAGAACACAGACAGAACACAGACTGGCTGAATGACACTTTCAATTAAGCAGAATACCTCAAATGGAGATCGCTGAACTCTAGCTTACTTGTACAGTACTGTATGTCGTGTTTTCAGATCACGGCCCCTCCGCAGAGAGAGCGCGTGTGAATGGTTGGCAGATTGCATAAAGCAAAAAGCCGGCCAGAGTACGTATCTGTTTAACAGAAAAGCTCTGATTGGGGGATTTGAGGATATCTGGCAACCGCAAACATGAACGCTTGCGTAATAGAGTCTTGTACAGCAGTCTGAAATGTTTTGGCTCCACATTTTTCAACGAAAATAAAAAGGTTTTGGTAAAGTTTTTATTTTTTTAACTACACATTTTAGTCTCGTCTTTTTTCGTCAACGATATTGCATGTTGATATAATCTCTGTTATCGTTTAATGACCTTATTATCGTCTCGTGTTCGTCATAGTTTTCATTAACGAAGTTATGCACATGCAAAACTAAACCACTGAAAAGAAAAACATTTATTTTTAATGGGTCACTTACACTTACCCATTGTCATTTAAATTAAAATTCCAATTTTTTCTCGGTTAATGTATAGGAAATTAACATGGTAATATTTAAGAATTAGCACAGTCAGCGGAGAGTAGGCGGTCTTTAGTGTCTGTTCGACCGCATGAGTCCACACTACGAGCGCAATCTGGTAGAATGCGTTTTCGACAACCTCTGGAAGTGGTCTAAAGTGGACAAGTTCAAAACATTTTAGACTCTGTTCAATTCTATTCAATTCAAGTTTATTTGTATAGCGCTTTTCACGATACAAATCGTTGCATAGCAACTTTACAGCAAATTAGGTTTCTACAATATTTAGTAGTAGCTTCTAACCTGTATTCTAACTCTGTTCACACCTGTATTTAGTGCTGTCCACTTGTGATCGGATCAACGAAAATGCATCTTAGTACCAGGTGTAAACAGGGCCTCAGATCAAGATAAAAGTCATAGCAAAACAGCACCAGGGTTTGTACAGCATCATGTATTTAGCCTGCAAGCTCTAGGAAGAGTTATGTATAGACATGTAGAACTTTACAAGAATAAGAACAATACGTTTAACTTTAACAGAGAAATGGGTTCAATCTGACTTTTGACCTTTCACTTTTCAATCTATTGGGGCAGTGCCCAGTGAAAAAGGTTTAAACCACACTTCAGTGCTTAATGATAGTGTTAATTCAATCAGAATCACTAAAGTTTCTATAGTTTCAGTAGATGTAAGTGAGCTTTGTTCATATTATGATTTTAAATTGTAATTTTGGCCACTCCTAATGGGTCATACATTGACACCTAAGCAGCTGAAGTAAATAAGATAGAAAAACACACTCAGGATGTGCATTTAATGCATGAACAGAGCAATAACGTAATGTAAGTGTCTAAAATGCAATAATGCATGCACATGGTTCAGTTGAATGATAGAGGTTAGCCTCTTTAACTTAATGCTGTAACTGACAAGTTACGCAAGAAAAATCGCAGACGATTTTATTGCGCGATTCTGAAATCGAAGAAATCGTTCGCGATAATGACAGCTGTTTGCATAGCTTCTCAGTGAACTACGGCTCTGTGAAGTAAATGCTGCTCCATCTGAAAGCATGTGAAAATACCACATTTAATAACATATTTTTACTCCAAACTCACTTCATAACGTCAGTCGAGTGTTTGAAATAAATCCTTCTGTGAGATGATGTGGCTTCTTACACAGAATAAGGCACGCAACATATTTCATAGTATTTAAGCAGTGATAAAGGCATTGCATTATAAATATACTTTATTTTAATGAAAATTATAATAATAAGAACTCAGATAAACCGTATATTGCCGTAGTCGTGTGTTTATTATTCACGTTGAATCAATGAAAGCAGTTGAATCTTCTGTTTATTCAGCTGCAGCGATGGGTTTCTTCTGCGAGGCGTATTTGGAGTTTCAGCGCGAGAGCGCCCTCTGGCCTTTGGATGGAGATTTACTGCTGATCACAGAACCGTGCTTCACTGAAAGATACGCATGACAATCGCAGCTTCTGTCGAATCGCGATCTCGATTCCATTTCGATTTATCGTGCAGCCCTACTAGTTAACATAAATTAAAGATTTTAAAGCATCTTTTTTGCTATATTTTAATATTAAAATAAAGTGAAGTAACACTTCATTTGAGAACTGATGAGAACTAACATGATATAACAATGGACAAAAGTTCCCTGTTTGGGTTATAACTGGCTCTTCTCCAATTGACGAAGACTTCTTTCAGCACGGTTCCACTCTTTTGGTTGTCAAGATTTTTGTATGGATATATATTTTGTTTTAAAAATTGGTTATTTATATGCATTTTTTTTCTCTTTCTCTCTCTCTTTCTATTTTTTATTGATTTTTAATTTTAATTTGATTTATTTACTTATTTACTTATTTATTATTATTTTTATATACTTACTGTTGTAAAGCTGATTGTCTGCGTTATTCTGTACGTTTAAACAATACAAAAATCAACAATAAAAAATGTATTTAAAAAAAAATTATTAAAAAAGAAAAAAAACAATGTACAAAAGTTTATATTTATAGTTCAACATTAACCAAGATGATTCATGATGCCTAATTTAGTATGTAGTACAGGTTAAATGTGTAATCTATACAACTTTGTTTAGAATCACAGAATCATAATTTATATTATGCACGCCAAAAGCATAAAACTTCGCCCCACCACTTTTGGAGTAGCAGTGCCACTCTTGACTAGATAGGTGAAGTTTGTTGTAATAACATATTATATTATATTATTATAACATATTATATTTCTAAGCACCACTTATTAAAATATTAATAAAGTCAGTAGCTGCAATAACAATCAGTAGGTTGCAATAATAACATCAGCATACCATTAATGCATTCTGAATTAATGCAACTGAAAAATCCACCTCACCCAAGCTTTTACGTGAATTTTAAGTTTATACACAACACAACTGAATGAAACCGTTTGCTAATTCAAAAATCTGCTAACAAGAACGGCATGGAAACGGGCGCTTGTTTTCAGAGTTACCTTGAGTGTCTCGTAAGCGGTCGCGACGAGCAGAAACTTTTGCTGCGCGGTTTCGCGGGAGTCGTCGCTCTCTCCGGGCTGGTATCTGTCCGGGTGATATCTCCGGGCCAGCTGGCGGTACGCGCGTCCGACCTCCGCTTTACTGGCTTCACGCGAAACTCCCAGCACGTCGTAACAACTCTGAGTCCCGCAGTACAGTCCCTCAATGAGCGCGGAGACCGCAGGAAAGCCCGAAATAAAGACGAGACAGATGCATAAAGTGAGTCTCGGCTCGATGGACGCGGCCATGTCAGCATTCTGAAGCTGCGGTCGCGCTCTGATGACGCAACGTAGGACGTACACGTGTTGAACAAGATTCAAAATGTATTCCTAATAATATATTTAATAGGGTAGGTGGCCTTTCTTTTTTGATGAAATGCAATTACTCCACTGGTAAATTACCTATTAAACTGGCTAGATTTCATCAACAAGCTTTGTTAGCCTGGAAACTGGTTTACAACCACAACTTTTCCCCCCACAAAAACATCTTATGGAATAATTTGGTTATTAAAATTAGAAATAGATCAGTCTTTTTTGATAAATGGTTTAATAAAAACATAATTTGTGTTGCTGATTTATTCAACTCTAATGGGGATTTGTTATCTTCCGTTTAAAGAATTGAACTCTGTTATAAAGGCGATTCCTGATGGATTAATATGTCTGATGAAAGCTTCCCTCACCCATGAGTCATGCTCAAAACAACTTTCACAGTTATGTTTGGGAGGCGTTTCGCATTTAAGTAAAGAATGTAATAATACATTTATTCGTCAACTTTCTCAATCTCGAAACTCAATTTCTCCAAAAGGGAAATTTTTTTGGGGTTCTAAAATAGATAACATTCAATGGAGGAAAACATGGTTATTACCATATAAATACTGTATACTCAAATAAAGTGAAAGAAGTGCATTTTAAAATTTTGCATAATATATACCCTTGTAACGCTGTTGTGTCGAAATTTTGTGATGTAGCTGATATATGCACCTTCTGTAAAAAAGAAAGTGAAGATATTTGTCATTTATTTTTCTCTTGTAATGTTTCATCACTTTTCTGGAAAGATTTGAGTTCCTATTGTTTTTCTAAAGTTAATATGAACTGTAATTTACACATTAAGGATGTTGTTTGCTTTTTTGAAAACCAAAACAAATCTTTAGAATCTGCTGTTAACTTTCTTATCCTTGTGGCAAAATTCTATTTTAACAAACAAAGGTTTCTTAAGAAAATACCTACTTTTATAGATTTCTTATGTGAAGTAGAACATTTAATTAAATCACTAAGAGTAATAAATAACAAGCTTGTTTTGGTGTGTTTTTTTTTTTTTTTTAAATCCTCTTTTCTTTATTTGTTCTACTCCTGCTTTTCTTTATGTTCATAAAAAAGCCATTTAAATGCATCTTTCTCTTTTAACAGTCATTGACAACTTTTTTTTTCTTCTTCTCTTCTCTTCCATAAGTTCAGATGACATTGGATATATTGTTGATACATTATGTATAATGTATGCAAAGTTGTATTTCATTAATGGCATCTCTGAATTGTTTGCAATAAAATAAAAAATAAAAAAGGTTCAAAATCACTCTTTAAAGGATATTATTGTGTACTATGAAAACAATGTTAACAAAGGTCTTGAATACATTGTTAATTTATTCATATTGCTGGCAAAATTGTATATACATAAACTAAAATGCTTAAATTCATCCCCAATATTTAAGGTATTTTTAGTGGAATTTGATTGTTTTATATCTTCTCTGAAATTGTTAAAAAACAAAAAGTCATTAACATGTTTAAAATATTATGACATTATTTTCAGTTCCCGTTACTAATTAATGTCACACTTTGTATAGCACTGACTGTCTTATGCTATGCTCTGTTTGTTATTTGTTCTATTTTAATAAAAAAAAAAAAAGGTTCTAAATCACTTGAGTGTGAAATTGTCCAAAACTTTTGGATGGAATTGGCAAAATAAATTTTTTATTTAGTCAAGGTTAACTAAGTTCTTACATTTAAGGATATTGTTGTGCATTACGAATATAAAACTAACAAAGGTCTTGAATACAATGTTAATTTATTTATATTGCTGGCAACATTTTATATACATAAGCAAAAAAAAATTTGTATTCATTGTTCATGTTGTTTATTGTTGAATTTGATTGTTTTATGTCTTTGAAATTGTTAAAAATATATATTAATATTAACATTAATATGTTTAAAATATTATGATAGTATATCCGGATCCCCTGTTACCACTTAGACTATTGTTTTAATGATATGCTTTGTTCGGTACTTGTTTCTCCCTTCAAATAAAAAAATAAATAAAATTAATTAATTAATTAAAAAGAAAATCACATATCGCACTGCCACATTCTATCTCATTTGAATGCAACTGCTATCAACTGTATTTACTATATGAGTGATTGTTGAATGTACAGAATGATTGTTTTGTACACCACAATGAATTTATGATAATAAACAGGTAGGACTGTAAAACGCTTTCTACTCGTATAACATTTTATGCCCTCATGTTTATTTATGTGGTGAAAGACTGTGTAATTAGTGATATGACTGTACATTATGCCTTAAATGTCCATCTTGTCTGAACTTCATCTAGGCTCAAAGGCAGGGCCGTTTCTAGCCAATTTCTAGCGAAATCCCTATTGCCCCCCCCTAGCTTTATTGCATGGCAAAAAAAAGTGTTACCTTGCCAAAGCACTGACAGAGCCCACTGATCTAATGGCGTTGTTGAGCGCTCCAAATGCAAACTTTGCATGCAACAATCAGGCAGCAATTGACAGCACTCTGATCTAGTGGCATACAGGCATCGTCAGATTGACAGTACTCTAGCCCAATAATGTTGGGGGATCCAGTGGGAGCGGCAGTCATATTTCAGGGTGACCGTGCCACTCTTTATCACAACCCTGCTAAAAGTGCCAGTACGTGCGCTCATTGGCGCCCCTTCAGCTGGTGGCGCCCTAGGCGACCGCCTAGCTCGCCTATGCCTAGAAACGGCCCTGCTCAAAGGCGTTTGTTAGGAACTGGTTTTCTTTGTGGAAGCTTTGCATTTAAAGAGCTAACAAAATATTTTAACTCAAATCAATATTTTGTGTGTAATTATTTACGTATGTGGCAAGTAGCCATGTAACAAGCAGGATAATGTACATTCAGCTGGTTGTGTTATTGCAGAATAAACCTCTTCAGGGTGATGCAAGAGCCCTCCGCTTTAAGCTGGGGTCCTGATCACCCTGTTGGTGTTTATTCTGCGATAACAACCGCTGGATGTACATTATCCCTACAAATAATCAGTCTGTAACTCATCAGTCTGTCAGTCTTTACCTTCTATTCCATTGAAACTAAAGAACGCCCAGACTGAGTAAGACCTTCCCCGTTATTTGATTGCATAACGTGTGCGTGTCCAGGCAGCAGTAGCTCCTCCTCCGCATGCTTGTTCAGCATGTACACAGAGTGTTGTCCACTGCTGTCATGAGTCCCAGAGGAAGCGCCGGTCTTTTCCTGTTAGTTCTGCTGAACCTGAACCTGCAGTGTGTGTCAGGAGGTAAGGTCATCGTCTGGCCTTCCGAATTCAGCCACTGGCTCAATGTAAAAGTCATCCTGAATGCACTGATCGCAAGAGGACACAATATTACAGTGGTGACCCACACAGCTACACCATCTGTTAACACCACCCCATCTGTGGGCTACAATGTGGAGATTCTACAGGTGCCTCACACAAAGCAGGACATCCTGGAGAATATGGAAAGGATGCTGAAATACTGGACTCATGATCTACCCAATGACAACCTCATCAAGGCTTCAATGAAGATCAAGGAGATGATTGACATAGGCACAGAACAGAATCAAGCCGTGTGCAATGCACTCTTTGCCAGAAAAGACCTGCTGGAGAAGTGGAGAAAAGAGAAGTTCGACGTCTTACTTGCGGACCCCCTTTTCATGTGCGGGGAGCTGCTGGCACAGAAGCTGAACCTACCGTTAATTTTCAGTCTCAGGTTTTCATTTGGTAACACTGTTGAGAGGCTCTGCGGCCAACTGCCGGCACCGCCATCCTACGTCCCTGCCGTCGTCTCTGAGAATACAGATGAAATGGATTTCTTGCAGAGACTGAAAAACTTCCTCTTTTATGGCACACAGGATGTCCTGTTTTATCTAGTGACTAAATCAAAGTGGGATCACTTTTATACGCAAGTCATGGGTAAGTACACTTACAATTCATTGCAATGAAAAAGGCCTTGTTCTGTATTAGATGCAGTAGATCATAAATGTATTTTTTTATATGTGTAAATCTGGTATACATAAACACATATATTAGTTGTTGCACATCTTTTTACTCAAGTGAGCACTGTTTTATACCGTCTATGGTGAGCACATTTAGGCCTAAATTTAACATTGGTGTATTTGAATTGCATATACACTTTCCGTCAGTTTGGAGCAAACAGTTTTAACATAAACTAGATTGAAAAGTTTGTAGACAAACTTTAAGTTGGCTTGAAAAAGCCTAGCTAGAAAGTTAAAAAAAAAAGTTTTAAAAGCTTGCAGTCTGAAAGTTTTCAGTTTGAAGTAGTTTGAAAGTTAAAATAGTTTTAAAGATTAAAGTTTGCATGTTTTCAAGGCAATACAGTCTATCAGAAAAACAGATAGGTATAAAACATACATGTTTTTAGCATGATTAGCATGATACTAGCATGTTGCTAGCATGATTAACATGTTACTAGCATGTTTCTAGCATGATTAGCATGTTTCTAACATGGTTAGCATGTTGCTAGCATGACTAGAAAATTGGTAGTCTGGTTTACGAAAACCGTAAGCCGGATCAGTTAGAAAAGATATAGCAACCCAAGTCAGACCAGTCTGAAGGTCTGGGCCGAGTTTGGTGGTTGTAGCTTTAAAGGTCTAGGAGGAGATACACTTTAAAATTTGGTCTCAGAAGAAGAAGAAGAAGAAGTTTAAATTTTCAGTAATTAAACTAATAAACTTAATATGCATATTTGTCACAGGAATGTAACAGGTAAGATTTCTGTAATAGTATAATAAACAAATGCATTTTAAATACACAAAAAAATCGGTTTATATATTTATCATCAATAAATCTCATACGTTTGAAATAACTGAATATCGCTTTTTCCACAGCTAGCCATATTGTAACCATGTTCATACTTTTTTAACTGAATAAATGTAATTGTTTTCACAATGAACAGACTTATGCCAATTCTAAGCAATTTGAATAAATGCATTTTGATATGTAATATGTATATAATAATTGATATATAATAAATTATTAGTAAATA